TGAGCAGTAGTCCACTTATCACTACCCACCCCGCTCGATGTAGTGGGCAGCGCGGTCCTGATTATCCTGCTCGACGACCGATGCAGTATGGAATTATTTGTAAGTTGTATATGCATTGGGGAAAATCATTGATAACTAGAAGAAAGCGAGTGGGTGCAAGTACTGGACCTTGGAGAACACGAGCATTCACAGGGACTAGGTGATATAGAACCCCATCAACTGGGACAGAGATGTTTCGCTTACTGAGGAAACTTGATCTCCACGCTACGAGGGCCGGAGGGAACCCTAACATGGGTAGCTTTGCCAGTAGACCTTCGTGCCAAACTCGGTTGAAGGCCTTTGATATGTCAAGCGAGACCAAGTGTGGTTCTCCTTGGTTATCGAGTGCAGCTGACCAGGATTGCGAGAAAAGAGCGAGCTAGTCGTCGGTGGAGTGACGCTCTCGGAAGCCATACTGATAGTCGCTCAGTAGTCGACAGCTGGGCATACGCCATGTGTGTTCTAACCAGCGATGCCGACCAATCTTAATTCTATGTATAAACGAATTTTCCACCGAATCTTTACCAAATACGCGACGACTTGCCTCAGTGTCGTCTACACGCGCGCTCTATCCAACCCGCGCCAAACTACGTAAACATCGGCAGTTGAAGACTTCTAGACGATGAATATCTTTCACGCAGAAAGTCATCACTGTAGGGCATAATACAGAGAAGCGAACTTCACTGATCGCTGCGAAACTCATAATGCATACAAGGTAAGCGAGGATGTGTAAGAAGGATATGGTTTGGGCTTATTTTTAGGAATGGGTAAAGAAGACGAACCTCTGTGGTCAACACACGGAGTACACAGTCTAACTGTGCATACACACTATTTCAAGCATTCTGGTCTGGTCGCAAAACGTGTCCTAACCACCAGAGTTGAACTCGATGCAATATCGAGTTCTTGTTGGATGCATTCTCAAACACCCGACCACTTACTTCTAAGTTACCAACCCGCTAACTCCATCCCACCTGGGACAGACTACGCAAGTATCGACTGTCGAAAGACACTAAGCGACGGACACCGTCTTCCCGCAAAATCGAGGTCTCACAAGCGTAAAATAGAAGTGATCATACAGTAGCGCAGTATACGCCAATTTTCAGTTTCAGTCTTATCTACAGGTGTTTTTGTCCTGCTTACTCCGTCCAATGTCATCAGGAAATATCTGTTTACTCAGTTGTTCGCATCATGTCTCCCGAGACCCTATATCCTAAGGTTCTCTAAAATGTTTGTATTCGGTTGCTAGTCAGGGAAAATGTTTGCGGTTCGGACTAAACAGACAAATGCGTCTGTCTTTTATAATGTACAAAGCATACGTAATGCGTATTTGGCAGGCTAAAAGTTCTGTTCCTATTTGGAGTGTATGCTCTGTGCTGAACAGACTCACTCTCCATTGATCCTGTTTATCTGACACATTCGTGCTTACCCGTTATACATTACAAGCCTGGCAACGATAATCGAAGTGTACTTCACTGTTCGATGATGTTCATGAGTTTCAGAGATGTTTCCAAACAAGCCTTCGATGATCACTTTCGAAGAACGGATGCATTGATTGTCTAATATAAATGCTCGATTTCCATTGTTTGTTGCATAACACACGTACGCATACAGCCCCCAAATGGCCACAAAATCCATCTTTCATTAACGTTCTGGCACTATAGAAGCATGAATGGGTCTTCTCTATCGAAATATGTTAGTTGAATCGATGATGGAGGATAGATAACGTGACAGGTTACAAATCACAGATGCTATGCAAAAGCGATCAAACATGAGAGCCCCGAATAAGCTTTTGGGAGTCTTAGCATCACCCCGGTTTAGTCTTGCGCTCCCTGGGTGTCGTTGACAGTAACTTGTACTTCCCAACCAGTTGGTCCATTCGTTCATGTGTTCGTCCTCAAGAAGCACAGTATTTGGCAATTTCGTGAAATTTCTTCCCCAATTCCTGCATTTTGATTCTACCCGAGACAACTTTCACCGTTGTGAGCATCAAGTAAACTTAACAACAACAAAAAGTAAATATCTGTCTGGCCATAACCAGCATCATGATATCGACCCATGCAATGGTAGACTGTTTCACACAATAAATATATATATGGCTTTGGCGGTATGAACCCTCAGTACCATTGGACGAGCATTATTCATGATCACTTTATGACTCCTTCTTCTTTAGAAAACCTCTGTCGTCGAACCAGTGGTGGGAATTGTTTGATGTCAATGCGAAGCGGAATTATTATTACAACAGCATCACACGTGAGACCGTCTGGCAGAAGCCACCTAATGGTGATATTATTCCCCTTGCCAACCTTCAGGTTCGTTTCCGGTACTCGTACATTTTGCAAAACTGTTGATCCACAATAGGGCACCCGTTACTGTTTCATATTTCGGTTCGCTTTTGCACACTTTTCGTACTTATCTGATAATAGTTATTTGGGCGATGAGTTGCTCACTTTTTCACTTTAAATGTTGGATAGGTTTCTATTCGACAGCTTGTACCATACACATAAACAGTCGAACGAGCGAGCTCCATCCTTTTTCGAAACCGTTGTTCGGTTAGAAGATCCGAAGGCCTAGTCCTTGGAACTGAAGATAGCTAACTGTATCAGTAAACCGTGCTGTGGGGTCGGGTAATAACGAGGCTATCGGAGACTAAACTTGAGAGGTAATAGCATGATTCGAACTAGCTAGCTTGGTCACAGTAATTAACATTTCTCCTTTTTTAGTCTGATTCACTCCCTTCTATAGTAGTGGTTTTGATTAACGAAGTATTTATTAAATTGT